TGTAACACCGAAGCTCCCTCTTCCTCATTGTGTGATACTGTCAGTGTGCAGGCTCACAGTGCTGGCTCCTGTGGGTGCTTCATACCCCGGAAGGTCGAGATGAGGAAGCAGCGACAATATTTTCAGAGTACACCTATTTCTCACTTATTGACTATCTCATGATCCAACACTGTCATCTACACTAATAGCAAAGAATCTACTCTCCAATTATTTGGCACACTTCTGTCTGAGGCTAGAGTAACAGTGGTTATGATAGTTAAAGTTATGTGTCAGCTTCTTTAGGCGGTGCGATTCTCAGTGTTTAGGCAGTTACATGCAGATGTGATTTGACAGCTCGTAATGATGGCATCATTCTCAATTTTCCCATAACACTTGGTCTTTAGGCTCTAACCATATTGATGAGGCATGGTTATAGTCCCCAGAGCAATACTTAAGCTAAATTTTTATTCAAGAGGCCTTAAACTATGAATACAGTTGCCAGTCAAAAGCAAGGTTGCTGAGTCAAACTTGAATCCCATGGAATCCAACGTGCTATTCCTTAACATAACTGTGTCCCATGCAATATTTGGGACGTGCCTGTACTAAAACTACAAATTTGAGTTCCAGTTTGATCATGAATGAATTTTTAGCAAAGGTATGACCCAAATATTTCATGGGACACACTTATGTTAAGCATAATGTGTTGGGTTCAATGGGGTTCAAAGTCCATCGGCTCTAGACTCCCAGATTCCAACTCCCCATCTCAGAGCTTTCCTCTGAACTCCAAGCCAGTAGGAAATGGCTTTGGCATCTCCATTTGAAGTTCTCAAAGGCAACTCCAACTGTACATGCCCAAGATCAAGTTCATGAACCTGCCCAACTTCTCCCATCTCCTCCAAAATCTTGGCCATTGACCATCTTCCTCATTTCCCGTAAGTGGCGCTATCACACATTTGTCTGAATCGATATTCATCTTTGTCTCCACTTGGAGGACAATGTCTACTCTTGTTCACATTGGGTCGTGGACAAGGTCACATGGAAGGAGTCGTTGCTGCCTATCTCCTCCCTGTAGAAAAGGGCGATCACCTTGTCTATTTATTTCTCTTCCTTTCTCCCTTTCATCAGTTGAAACCTAGATTCTTGTGCGTTGCTGTACGATGCTGGGCTCCTGGGGAGTGGCCGCTCCTGTTGGCTAATGATTCTTGCTCCGGTGGGCTCTCTCCCCGGTGTGGTTTGCCATTTTTCCTGTCCTAGGAGCTCATCATCAGGAAACAAATGTCCCTCAGGGGATCTCTGTGCCTTGGGGTGAGAATCTCCCTTAACGAGTGGTTCGTGTTTGTTTCTGCTGGCACCCCTGCGTCTTCACTTCTCTGAGACAAGTTTGTAAGCTGCCATATTGACTTGGGATTCCCGCACCCTGAGGGTATTCCATATGGGACCCCAGACCCATACAAGAGCATAGACTTGGGTTTGCATTGTACAATTGGGACATTTTTCCTTCCGTAGAGATGCCAGCGAGGACAGGTTTCAAGGTCCTCCCTCAGCTCAATGAGCAGGAGGAACCTGAGCTCCCTCTCACAGGGGACAGCCTTCTAGCACCCTGGCTGTAGGTAAGGCGTCAGTCACAACTCCCGCCTCAGTCACAACCCTGGTCCTGTCTCCCGAACCTGCACTAGCTTTAAGGGTCCAACCTTCCCTGCCTGTCCCTTAGGTCTAGGTCTACACATCCCTGGAAGTCAGCTTGTGAGCTCGTTGCTTTAGCTTTGGGGTGCCTCTTGTTTATGGCAACCAGGCGCTTCCTAATCTTTCTCTGGAATCCCGTCATTTTAATTCATGCAGCATTGCTACGTGTGGGTGGAAGTGGCACTCAGTTGGGCCTATACATCTTTGTATCCGGCTCTCTTTTCCTCTGAACCCATGAACAACTTCTAACACGCTGTCATTGAGCTGCCTCCAAATGACCCTACAGCACAGGATAAACGGTGGCTCTCGGAGGCTGCTATTTCCGGAAGCACCAGGTCTCATCTTTCTCCTGTGGAGCGGCGGGTGGCTTTGACATGCTGACTTTGTGGTTAGCAGCCCTACATTATAACCCACTACACTACCAGGGCTCCTTGCCCTATGGTGCCGAGGCAGCGTACAACATTTGTGCTCGATGGCTAAGCTCAAGATTGGCGGTCACAACCTACCTGGAGAATGGCACCTTGGAAGAAAATACCTGGCAATTTGCTTCCACTAAGATTTCAGCCAACAAAACCCCCAGGAGCAGCTGTGCTCTGTAATGCATGGGTCACCATGAGTCAGAATCAACTGAACAGCAAGTACCCACACAACAACACCTGCTCACCGCCCACAGCTGCACGCACCAGGCACCGTTTACAGCACGGATGAGGCTGACTGATGTATCTTCCACCAAGATCGACCTTTCAAACACTACATCCTGACCCTGCCCTCGCCCCTCCTGGCACCCCTTCAGAGTCTTCTCATCGTCCCCAGTTCACTCTAGTAAAGTCTGCAAGACCTCCCAGGTGCAAACATACCTCCTGCCCCTCTCTCAGGCACATGCGAAATCCCAACCCAATCAAAGTCCTCGGGCTAGTGCCAATCCTGTTCTCCACCTCTGTATCTGCGCATGCTGTTCCTTCTGCTGCGATGCCCCACCAGCTGACTGCCTGGTGCTTGTCCACGGAAGACCTCCAACGTCTCCTCCTCTCACTCCTCTAGACCGATCCCACCTTGCCTGCTCTTGTTCACGTAGGTGCGGTAGAGCCCCTCGCGACTCGTCGCGACCTTTCATGACAGAGCAGAACTGTTCCCTGCGGGTTTTCTAGGGTGTGATCTTTATGGGAGCAGGTCACCTGGTCTTTGTCCTGGTGGGCCACTAAGTGGGCTTGATCCCTCAGCCTTCCAGTGAGCGCTGAACCCTTGCCCGTGCATTACTGCCCGCCTCTAGTTATTTATTTATTTGTTGTCTTCTACATAAGCTTCTTAAAGACAAGAGCGACGGATCCGTCTTCTCTGTATCCATAGTTCTTCTTCTAAGCTTTTCATATGGTATGTACCCACTAAATAGTTGGTGGGGGGAAATATATATTTTTGGTAGTGAAATTTGAACCTGGATGCTTGGATTCCTGAATGACTAATAATTGTATGTCCAGGGATCTTTCATTGGAATGACCTGCCCACACACATGGGGAAACAAAAGGGCTAGAGGTCATCCTGGTGTGTTGCTGTTACTGACCCTGGTGATGTCACAGAGCAGGGGGCAGCGGCTAAACGCTCTCCCTCCAGGCAGGAGGCCCAGGTTGGAAGCCTGGCCAGGACACCCCATGTGCAGCCACCACCCACCTGGCAGGTGAGGCTTGCACAGTGCTAGGATGCTGAACAGGTCTCAGTGGAGCTTGCAGACTATGGGGCACGAGGAAGAAAGGCCTGGCCATCCACTTCTGAAAAGTCAACTCGTGACAGCTCCGTGGACCACCATGGTCCTGATAGCATTGTGCATGAGGCTGTCCTGAGTCAGGAGGGTCAACTCAGCAGCAGCTGAGAACAATACCCCAAGGAGGACAGTTGGCGGTGTCACCTTGCCTCACAGGGCCCGTTGTTCCCATGGAAACGAACAGGTTGGACTAGAAGATCTAGTGCCAAAAGTCTGTCATTTCCAGAAAATGATGTCAAGATCGAATTGACCTCTTCTGCCGTCTGCAGTGCCATTGGCTGTCTTTGGCACCGAGCCCCTCTGTCCCCCCTCTCTCTCTTCCTTCCGTTGCCGTCTCACCTTGCAGGTAGGTCAACCAGAGGGGCTGGTGGTGGTGCTCTGAGGCGATGGACAGGGTGTTGAGGGCAACCACCAGGATCACCAACCAATAGAAGACCCTGGACTTGATCACGTCATGGCACTTCCAGCGGAAGATGCGGTTCCAGTGGCGCCAGTGCCGGCTGCGGGGAGGAGGAAGGAGGGGGAGCGTGAGGACCAGAGGAGCCCAGCCCAGGACCAGGCCTGGGCAGCACTCTCCCTCTGCCAGACAGACTTACAACCTGGCCTCTCCCTCGTAAAGCTCCTCAAAGTCCCTGGCAGCCTCAGAGAGAGCTAACCAGGATGGTGCAGGTGGAGTGCTGAGCACAGCACCTGGCAGAGATGATGCGTTCCACACAGGTCAGTGTTTTCATTCAAACCACACGGTGGTCCTGTGTTCTGGAATTGGGGATGGAAGGGGAAGGGCCCTTTCCCAGTTCTCACTCGCTGCCGTTCAGCTGGTTCTGACTCACAGTGACCCCACACAGGGTTTCTGAGACTATCAGTCTTTACGGGAGCAGGCAGCCACGTCTTTCTCCTGGGGCGGACTGGTGGGTTTGAACTGCTGGCCCACGACACCACCAGGGTTCCTTTTGGGAGAGTGGCTTGTCAGTGCTGAACCCAAGTTTAAAATGCACATGGCCTTTGACTCAGCAATTCCATTGGTAGAAATCTCTCTCTGGCAGAATTGCCCATACTTGCCTACCTGTATACTCGAGTATAAGCCGACCCGAATACCAGCTGAGGCACCTAATTTTACCACAAAAACTGCATAAAAAAATGTGCTGAAAGACTCGGCTTAGACACAAATATCTACGGTATATACAAGGATGACAATACACTGTGTCTATTGCAAAAAATAAAAAAAGATTCATTGAATGGCAGCATGCTTATACTCTGGAGTCACATGCAATGGAAATGAGATACATATGAGGGGGCTTCCCAAAGCTCATGAAAAATTTTCATGATCTTTTCCTTTTGTTCCATGAACTTTTTGAAGCCCCTCATATATATGAAGTTGTCCCCAATAGATATTTTTAAGTGAGACATAAAAGCATAAAACAACACGTCCATCATATCTTTATTACACAAACACGTGTTTGGTAAGCAACTCCTATTTTATTTGATTTTTGGGGGGCAATTTAACCTACAAGAACCCCATCACAGAAAATAAAACAAACTAAAATCTAGTGTATACATGTGTGTGAGAGACAGGCACAGAGACAGAGACTTGCAGAAATCGATTGAGTAGGACAGAAGGCTAACGGTTTCCATGGTTACCTTTTTGGCAGGGCAGTGGGGACTGGGCACCTTCTCTTTAATTTATTTATGATTTGATTCTTTACAACCAAACGAGGCATGACTATGTAAGAGGGACCGCCAAGCAACCACACAAGCCTGCCTGTGTAGACCAAGAGGCGCTCTCCCAGGGTCTCTGTCTCCTGACATTTAAGCACTGCTGAACTGCCAGGCTCAGATCTCCCACCCCACCACCCTCCCTTGGAGCTTCCCAGGACCGACTCCCTCCCTTCCGCTCGATCCTGTCCCATCATGTGGTCACCTCAGAGCAGGAACTGGCCCTGTTTTCTCAGACAAGCCACCTTTCCGAGGGATCAGGACAGCGACTCTAGAGCCACTGAGGGGACAGGGAGCTCCTCTCCGCTGTCCCAGGCAGCCTGGGTGGGGAGCACCCTCGGGGGTGAGCAGACACTCACACAAACTGGATGATTCTGTTCAGGCCGGCGATTTCATACAGACTCTCCGTGTCAGAGCTGCCTTCATCCAGAGACAGCTTCCCTGGGGACAGGAGAGAGGAAGTGGGCCAACGCCTGGGCACACCAACAGTGGGCTTGGAGCCCCAGAGCCAAGAGCCTCCTGCGCAGGGAGAGGGGTTCTGGCGGCAGCACCCGCTGTGGGAAGGGCCCTGGGCTCAGGGTCAGGGTGCCTGGATGCTCCCCATCTTGAGGGGTGAAGCTTTGGGCAAGTCACTTAACCCCTGGGGGCCTTGTTTTGTCTTCTGCACCATGGCAGCATTGGACCTGCTCAGTGGCCCCCTGCAGGCTGGCTGGTGGGTGAGATGAGCTAGTGGGTCTCTCTGGGAGCCGGCTGCAGGGTGCAGTTCAGCTGCTGGGAAGAGAGGCTGACTTTGGCCTTTGAACCCAAACCTTCTCTCAAGTCCTCCACATCCATGACCTCGCCCTGGGTGATCCAGCTCATGTAGCCCCGAAGGTCCTCCTCCAGCTGCTGCTTTTCCCGGAGTTTCTGGAAGGTTCCCCTGGACTTGGCCTTCTCCCGTTCCTTGGTGAATTCCCTGCGATAGAAGGAAGCAGGTCGGGAAGGAGAGTGGAAGATAGGAAGGGGGGTGGGGAGGACAGAGCACACACCACGGTGCTGGTGTCCCCCTTCTTCTGGCCCCAGGGAGTCTCTTGGGATCTGGGTGGCTCTCTCGTTCTCCTTGCACCCATCCTGACATGTATCCAGGACACCGTGTGTCTCCCAGACCCCCTTTCTCCTTCCTTCTCCTCCCATCCCATGTCACCTGCCTTGTGTGGGCTCACCCTCGGACATTAGGGGTAAGACAGGATTGACCACGGCCCCACCTGAATGGGTCATGGATCTTCAGATGTCCCTGACCCTCTACCCTAGACATTGAGTTTTGCTTTGAGTTCATCCAGAGGCCCCTCCAAGCAAGGTCTGGTCACCTGCTCCCCCAAATCCAGCCACTGAAAAGCCTGTGGAGCCTAGCCCTACTCTAACACGCACGTAGGGGACGCCGTGGGTCTCCTTGATAGCCCCTGGTGGACTCAAGGCCCGGAAGACATTCTCCTGGGTCCAGAAGAGACCCCCAGAGGGAAGAAGGAAGAGTCGGCAGATTGCCCTCCCTGTGGGTCCGCGCGGGTCTCGGGTCTCGGGACCAGCAGAGGGCAGCCCTCGGTCACCATGCAGTGCTGAGGAGGTGGGCCCGAGGCCAGGAGGGAGCTGTTGTCTGGACCTGTCCCACTGTCTGCAGCTACCCCAGCTCTGCCTCGAGCCTGTCCCCTTGAGGGTGGGCCCCAAGCAGAGGCTCCCGGTCTTTCTGTGCTCCAGATCCTTGGTGTCCGGGGAAGGTGGTCCGATGGGTGCCATCTCAGAAGAATGATTTTACATGCACTCAGTACAATCACGGCATGATAAGAGGAGTCATGTCTAAGAAAGCTCACTCACTGAACCCTTTTTTAAAGGCCAGATAATAATCCGTGTGCTCTTTAGCGAGTCATTAACTAACAAGGTCTGGCAGCGGGTCTCAGAACATAACTTTCAAAATAGTCATTTTGCTGCAACTTTAATGTGACAAGTCTCAGGCCCTGCTGAGACCACACAGATTTGTATGCATAATGAAAACAATGAACATGTTTTCAGTTAGAGGTGAGTGACAAATAAACGTAGTCTTTTCTACTCAAGTTCTGGGGCCCCCTGGATCCTATACGCAAAGTGTCTGAAGGGGGCTGGGGGCAGGGTCATGGCCAGGGGGAAGGACCTTGCAGTCACATATAAGCTTGCACTGCCATCGGGATGGGGGGACCACAGCAGCAGGCCTGTCCCCGAAGAACAGCCCTGGTCAGCAATAATTATTAATACTTGGACTCTGTCTTCAGTATTGAACGTGCTTAACTCTTTCAATCATGCCCACGCCGCCATGAAATAGGTCATGAAATGATCCCTATTTATTAAAGGAGGCGCTCTTAGGCACAGAGGGTGACTTGACTGGGCAACCGTCCAGCGAGCCGAAGTGGAGGGGGCTCAACTTGGGCAGTCTAGCTTTAGTGACCTGTGCTTGACCAGAGGTCTTATGCCAAATACGCTCTTATGCGCACCATTGGTAGGACGCTGGGGTCTGGGGCAAGGGATTTCACTCAGAAATAATGAAGACGAGAGATGGGGGTGGGGAGAGGGAGAGGGAGAAAGAAAAGGAGAGCGCTTGAGGAGGAGGAGAAATGCTTCAAACGAGTGATGGTGTTGCAGGGCTGGGGGCTCTTGCCTGTGACTTCTGTCTCTTCCTTGCTAACCAAGAAGAGGTTGGGGCTGAATGGCTACAGGGATGAGCTGAAGTTCTAACCCATACCTCCTGCCCTGCTAGCCTCTTCACCTTGCCCTTCACCTTGCCCTTCATGTCCCCCACTCCCCTTTCCCTCCATCACCCCTCTCCCCATGCTTCCTTCCTCCTACTGCCTTTCCCATCTGCCTCCCAGCGGCCTGGGACTGCCTTACCCGCTCAGGATGCCCAGCACCAGATTGAGGATGAAGAAGGAGCCCAGCAAAATCAGGCTGAGAAAGTAGATCCAGGGCCACTGGTTCCCGATGGCATCATTGACCTGCCCGGAACAGAGGTATGAGTCCTGCCTTCTGGTTTGGGGGCTTGGATCCCTCTCCCGGTGTCTGCCTACTGGAATGTTCCTGAGCTCAGAGCACAAGCAGGCAGTCAGTCATCTGGGCCCAGGGTGGGGCCTTTCCTAGCCTGAGAACTGGAGCTGGCAGGTCCTCCTCTGGGACGCTGCTGACCAGACTCCTGGACTAGGCACGACTAACTTGTCTTTCCTCCAACCAGGGGTACTTCCCACCCGCCTCCTGGCTTGATGCCCCATCGGCCACCACTTCAGCTTAGCACCAAGACTTTTCTAACTGAAGAAACTCTTGAAAGCCTTGACCCGAGGGTCCAGTCAGCTTCACGAACAACTGTGACGCTAACCACGTCGCCCGACATTTCTGAGTTTTACCCGCTCTGCAGCAGCCCTGGTGAGATGAGCACAGCCACTTGGCCGCTCACTGAAAGGCCAGCGGTTCAACCCCACTAGCTGATGTGTGGGGAACGCTGTGGCCGTCTGTAAAAATGGAAGCCTTGGAAGCCGTGTGGCGCAGTCCTGCTCTGTCCTACGGGTCCCTGTGAGCTGGATTGACTCAGCGGCGTGGGCTTGGTTTGGTATGGCCATAGTGGGGTAGTGGTTAAGAGTTGGGCTGTGAGCCGCATGGTCGGTAGTTCTAAACCACTAGTAGGGAAAAGACAGGGCTTTCTGCTCCTGTAAAGTTACAGTCTCAGCAACCCCGAGGGGTCACTACGAGTCAGCATGGGCTCGATGGCCACGAGTGAGTCCAGTGAACGATGGCGTGTGCACTACCCCTCACAGGCTGGTCGCAGAGGTGGAGGGCACACGTGCGATCCTCCCAAATACATCAGAATTTGCTCCCCTAACGTGAGCTTACAGGCAAGCGCCACGCTCATTCTGACAGTATACCGATCCCCACGCCCAGGCAGTATCGCATCGGGTGAAGATGGTCAGGGCTGGCAGCCTGTGGTCAGAGTCCAATTCTCCCCTGCCTCGGACTAGGCCCGTCACCTCCACCATGTGTCCTTATCTGAATGGGGAAGCGGCTCCCCTCGCCAGAGGACTCGATAAGAAAGGCAGTCTGGGTCTTAGCAAACCCCAAATACGTGCTGTCCTCCACAGGAAATCGCTCACATGTCTGTCGGGCCTGAAGGTGACCAGACGTCCCGCTTTTGGCGGGACAGTCCCGATTTTTGGCATTTTAAAAAAGTCCCGATTTTGGGAAAGAATGCATGACAAGCTAGGGAACAGTCTATTTGGGCCATATAGACCAAGTTTTTAACCAAGAATACCATCCCCCGCCCCCAGTCAGTGGTGTCCCGCTTTAAATCTGGTCACCTTACTTGGCTGCTGTCCAAAAGCTTGAAGGTTGGAGGCCATCAGAGGCGCCGTGGAGGGTAGGTCTGGATCTTTACCTCTAAACCAACCTGTGCTGAAGCTGGTGCCACACAGGTTGGCCGTGGCTCCCAGGGTGGCGTGGGCCAGAGCGGGCTCGAGGAAACTGGTATGTGCTGTGACTCAGTTTATCTTCCCACGGACCCCACGGGGTGGGCAGTGGTTGTAGGCTTACATTACAGATGGGCACATTGATAGCTGAGGATAGCTATGTGCCAAACCCCCAATCCAAACCCTCTCCCATGAAGTCAGTTCTCACTCACAGTGACGTCCGAGGCTGTAAATCTTGATGGGAGCAGACAGCCTCAACTTTCTCCTGAGGAGCAGCTGATGGGCTTGAACTGCCAACCTTGCAGTTAGCAGTCCAACAGACTTACCTGACAGGGCCAGCAAGGTTATGTATATGTGCATGTGTCCGCATAAGTGCATGTGCATGTGTGTACATGTATGTGTATGTGTGTACATGTATGTGTACGTGTTTACATGTATGTGTACGTGTGTACATGTATGTGTATGTGTAAGAGTATGTGTGTACGTGTGTGTAAGCTTACATGCTCAGGTGTATGTGTTTATATGTGTGTACGTGTGTGGTAAGTTTGTATGTGTAAGTGCATGCATATATATATGTATACGTATGTGTAAGTCTGTATGTGTAAGTGTATGCATATGTATATATGTGAGTATAAGTCTGTATGTGTATATGTGTTTGTATATGTGAGTGTAAGTCTATGTGTAAGTGTATGTATATGTGTGTACATATGAGTATAAGTGTGCTTGTGTGTGTCTGTATGTACAAGTGCATGTGTATGCATGTGTAAGTATGTGTGTATATGTGTATGTATGTGTGTGTGTATGTGTGAGTGTAAGTGCATCTATGTCAGTGTATGTGTATGCGTGTGTGTATGTGTGAGTGTGTCTGTGCACGTGTGTGTTCGGTGTGTCTGCGTGTGTTCAGTAAGTGTACAGATGTGTGTATGTGTACATGGAAGCCATCTTTCCCAGAAGACTGTCAGACAGTGAGATTCCAGGCCCCAGAAAGGACCACTCACAGCCAGAACCTAGGCGTTGAACTCAGAACCTAGGGAGCTTCGGTTTCCCTTCCTCCCCATCTTGGTCTTGTGCAGACAGAGAGCGCAAGAGAACTGCCCCAGAGGATGCTGGGACACCTGTCTGTGGGGGCCCAGGCACCTGCAGAGGCTCCCAGGGAGAGGAGAGCAGGCCTGGTGGGGTGCTGAGCCCGCCCCGTCCAGCAAGCCTGGGCCTGACCCACCCAGTAGAGCACGTCCGTCCAGCAGGCCTGGGCCTGACCCACCCAGTAGAGC